GGTCACGGCGGCCGCGTCCGTCGACCTTTGTGTGGTGGTCTCTGGACGCAGACGTGGACAGCGGCGTTTGGGGACGCGAATCTTGAGCCGCTACGTCGATATTGGAGCCTATTGTGGAGAGTTTCTGAATTGCCATGTCTGATCCCATCTGAAGCAAAATGGGTTTTCTCTGTTTTTTTTCTCTTTTTTAAAGCAAAGAGCTTCGTGTTTTAATGGCGGATTCAAAGGTAGAATCTAGGGTAGAGAGATGATGATGATGATGATGTGTTATGGATTCTACTGACCCCACATAAAGCCTTTTTATTAATAGCAGTATTAATTTCCGATAACAACAAACTAACTCCTCTAATTTTCATTTTATTTACAAATTAACCCCATATTTTCATCTTTTTGGGACGCATTTTGTAAATATAAAGATGGTTTGTTTCAAATATGTTGAGTGGAAATGATAAAATAAGCATATTTATGTTATAATCTAATTTTTTTTAATGGTTTTATAACATAATAACACTTGATCGGCCTCCATTTGATCATTTTCTTTTACGGCAAATTCAGACAAAAGGTTGTTTTACGAAACTATTAATTATACAGGTTACAGTCTGTAATAAATAAACACTTGAGGGAACCCACGAAAAAGCCCCAAGATTTTTTTCCAAAATTTTGATGACGTGTCTTCCCTATAGTGACCCACAATCGCTTAGTGGGGTCCACGTGATCTCGCACCTGATCTTAATGCCAGAAAGGCAACTCGTGCGGGCGCGAGGCTTAAGTTTGACTGTTCAAAGCCGACGGGTTGACCTCTCTGGAACCAGGTTTGCGAATTCCCTGTTTTACCCCTAATCAGTATAGTATATATAGATATATGTTAATAAATATGTGTGTAAATAATATTTTATATTTTAATGATACTCGATGATTTGGGATTTTTTTTTTTAAAAATGTGAATTTAGATGATCACTTTTTTTTTTTGTTATTTTGAAATTTGAAGTATATATATTAAGCTTGAAAGGGAAATTTTATATTCTGAAATATATAGTTACTTGCGATATATGAATTTTACTTTTTAGCTTCTCATCAAATTTTACGTTAAAAAGATGAAAAATTGCAACTTCAAATTCATTGCTCGTGTATAAACTGTTCTTGCTTATTGATTTTTTTAGAGTTTGTAATCTCTTCCTTCCTGTAAGAACACAAGTCATGGAATGGTAGATATAAGCTGAGAATTCTCTTAACATATTAGATTTGGCAGCATAAGATTTAATCTCAACCGTTGAAAAAACTGAGATTTCATAAAATATTAGTTCGACATTGGAATAATCCTAAAAAAAAAAATCTTATTTGCTTAAAATAAATAATAATTGTTTTTTTCTCTCGGTAAATTGGACATTAGGAAAGCTTCAAAAGAAAGGTTAAGGCCCATTAGGCCCAATTTTACGGGCTCATAAGGGATTTACGCTCTCACGTATATTAAAACCCTTGATTTTCCATTTCGGCGCCATCTGAAGCTCACTTTCCCGCTCTTATTCGCTTCCTTTTCTCTCAGCAGTTATCGGTCGCCGACTATAGGAAGACCTGGATTCAGTGATCGGTTCACCGATTCATCCTCTGCGATCAGGTAATGCTTTTTCTGTTTGGTTTCTGGGAAAATTTTCTGAAGAAAACCTGAACTGTGGAGTTTACAATTGTTTTCCCTTGTGTCCGTAAAGTTCTTTCTCCGAAATGTTCCGTTGTGTAGATCTTGTTTTAGGTTTGCATGATACTGTGTGAGAATATCTTGATTTACGGATTGATTTTGCTTTTTCTGTTCGGCGTGATGATATGCTATTCCGGCAGGTGGCTCGCGAAGGGTTGTTTTATTATATGTTTCTCTTTTTGTTGGGATTTTGAAGGAAATGAAGTATTTGATTGCGGCCTTGAATAGGAAACTGAGGAGTAGCGATCCGTTAGATTTATCACGAGTTTTCCGGAATTCGTCCGAACTCCCAAGTGAGAAAAATCTTATGATCCTCGATAGAGTAGCGCGAAGTTTTCACGCTCTTTGAAATTTTGAAGGAGATGACGCATTCGCTGTTGACTTGATAAGAAATTGATGAGTAATTGTCAACCAGGTTCATCTCCGAGTTTGTCGGAATTCTTAACTCTCACTCAAGTGTTAACACATGATCCTTGATACAGGTATGGAAACTTCAAGCCCTGCGGTTTTTGTGAATGGAGCCCTGCTGAGGCGTTATATAGGTCAGAAGGTCCGAGCAGTCCTTCAAGTCATACGGTCTGACGTTGGATCTGTGGTCGGGAAATCGACCGATGATCAGCAGATTGCCGTTAGGGGTTCACCCCCTGCGCCTCTTACCACCTACCTCGAGGTCGTTGGAGTTGCGGAGAGTGATAATGTCATTAGAGCTCAAATATGGACCAACTTTGGTGACAATTTCGGTATGCATCTTTGACCCTTTTTTCCTAAATTCCCAACGCGTATTGTCTTTATTCTTGCGGCTTGAGGCAGGCACATAGAAACAGTCATTGACATCTGAGGAAAGCACGAAATATTTCTTGGAATTCATGGTAATCTGATTAGGCTGCTATTGAATTTGAACCCCCTTGATATCCCTTCTATTCTATGTGAGTTCTTGTGGCATGACATGCATATAACGTATCTCTCCGACATGTCCATGCTAAGCAGCAATTGAATAAGCTTGAGTTTGGATAATGCGGGGATGGCCATCGTTTTCTGAATCGATCGGCATGTTAATACCCGATTGCTCGCTCATACATCTCGTAGCGAAAAAATATGATTTGTAATATGGAATTGGAACATTCTGGTTACTGAGCTAGAGGGCTTTCCTCCAGTTTTCTGATTTGTGCTAAGTTTGTGTTGCAGATACAAACAACTACAATGAGCTATGTAAGCTTGCAAGTGGAGAGTTCAAGGACTTGTTCATCTAAGTGTATGAACACTAAAGCTACATTGGCTTACAATGAAAGTGAATGATTCGATCTCACTTTTTCTATATCTCATGATTGAATCATTTTTTAGATTTATGTTCAGGGTTTAGTTGCAAAATTGATTCACAGATTCTATTTCAATATTTGCATATAATTCCATTTTTTTTTAATTGTATACATGCACACCCAAATTAACATAAGAATCTATCTTCTATAGAATTACGAGAAATCATTTAACTATTTGTATCTGATTACACAGAAATTATAATATAACTTTGTAAATGTTGAAACAAAAACTTTCTGGTAATTTTTTATACGTGCTGTAGTCGACACCGAAACAACAAAAGCGAAAACGCCGTTTAGATGTTCTTATTATTCGTTTGAAACGGCACCGTTTGAATCTTATTCCGCTTTCTGCCTTAAACGAGAAGTAATGAAATTGACAAATGTTCACGCCTCGCCACGTGGCCAATCTCCGTACGTATATGTATGTGTGGCTTCAACTCCTCCTCCTTTCATTTCCCCCCCTCCACCGTTCCTCTCTCTCACAGGTTCTCTGGAGTCTCTGGTAATGGCGGAAACCTCTGCCTTGTGCTTCTCCAATTTCTCGTCTCATATAACGATTTATCGCAATCGGAACGCCAATTCCCCTCCCTCCGCCGCGATATCCCTAAGATTCTCTCCGTTTTCTCGCGCTCCGCCGTCTCGCCCGCCGCGGTTCGCAGCTATGGCCTCGCATTCCGGTAGCTTCCCCGATGACGATCTCTTCAGCTTCTTCCCGTGGTCCGCCGGAAATAACGGTGATGATTCAGGCTCTTCGATATGCGAACTACCTTGTTGGTGAATTATGTTGAGTTTGATTTTGATCTTCTCCTGATTAGGGACATATTAGGTCTTATGATTTTTCCCTGAACCATCGGTTCTGAATGAGGTTGGAATGGGGAGATACGTGATTTGATCGAATTAGACTGATTTTCCGTACGATGGGGACTACACTTTCGAGATTGTTTACGCCGAGGGTCTGTGATGATCTGTCGAATTAGGTTGATTCCGTATACGTTGGTTGTCTATGAAATTAGAATTCGTGACCTCCCGAATCTAGTTTATATTTCGAATTCGTTCCTCTAATCCGAATATTATCACTAATCTTTCGTTTATAACGTGACAAGTTTATGTGCATTTTGAGGGATTTCTTTTGTTTCTCTTTGTTTTTTGTTCGGCGTCATTATCACGTTCCCAGATGATTTAATTTATGTATAGATCAATATTTTGTACTCAATTTATACTGCTTGGTACATTATGATTCAGAAAAGATTAGACCTGGTTTGCTGTTGTGATAAATGAAAATGGTGATTCTAACCACTTTACAGACATTGAATGGGTTCCCGAGGAAAGAGT